AGTAACTGAAATTTACTTACGTTTCATATCCATATTTCGGGTTTTATAAACAAAGTATGTATAAATCTGTGTTGTGCGTATTAAAATCTGGTCTCCACTATAGCGTATTGAGCGATACCACCAAGAACCCTAAAATACAAATAAAATTACCCAAGAAATAAAGCATGAAAAGTACAATAAATGCTAAGCTTGATGTAGAATATGTTTATGGTCAAATCTTCTAAATATTCATAAGCCAATAAAAATACCTGAGCTTTAGAACAAAGGCCTCTTTGTTACATATTTCAAATGATTTATTTAGATACTGTCTGAAGCCTAAACACCAACCTAAGTCATTGTATATATATGATGAAAACATTTACAATTCAGGTAGAAATTCGTTGAAGATAAAACACCCATTGTTATAAAGCTGGTTCCTGACACATAGCATGTCTTCAATAAATATGTGATAAATACATGTACGAGTAATTTTACAGTTTAAGTGACACTTTCATTCGCATTATTTCATATAATTAGATCATCATGACAATCCCACAAAGAAGGCAAAACTGCTTGATTATTAGGCTCATTATGGGAGTCAGAGGAACTCCAGGATCAGAAAGAACAAAAGTCACAAAAGTAAGAAATAGTAAAATCATAAACTTTATGGTATCTCCATATTATGGTACTATATATAGTTGTTTTCTAAAGTGAGGATGCTTTGTTGTATCCCTAGTATTTCAAGCCAGAAAAGTCAAAGAACAGAACAAACAATAAAATCTCATTAAAGTCAAAAAAAAAAAAAAAAAGCATGTGTGTACATAAATACATAGAAAAAGACTTGAAAAATGCAACACCAAATTTAGCAGTGATTATCTCTGAGAGAAATGGAATTGAGGGAGATGGTGCAGAAAGACTTGCATCTTAAATTCTAAATATATCTGTATTAACTCAGTTTTGTGTCACTTTTGCATTGGGAGGAAATATATATTAACATACTCAAGTTACCTTTAGAAGATGTTTTAAAGTGTAAATTCTTAAATTCAAAGATCAATGGATTATATTCTAACACAAATTAAAATCTTATAGGAAGACTCCAAAACATGTTAATTCCTGTTCCAAAAAATGTTAAGAAAAGAGGTAGAACTTACCACAACAACTGGAAGGATAACCATAAATGCCAATCCATATACAAGTAAAACCTAGAATTGAAGGGGAAAAAAATACGGCCTTCATCAGGTAAATGATAACAATATCCATGAACATTTACTTTGAGGCTTATAATGGAGGAGCCACTATTAAAACGCATTATCTTGTTCACGCATTATCTTGTTTAATCCTTATTCTCAAACTCTACGAGAAAGGTACCATTATTTTCCTTTGGTAGGCAGGAAACCTGAAGCACATACAGATTACATAGCTTGTTGTAGGTCACACAGCTAGTAAGTGGTGGAGCCAGAATTTAAACCAAGGCAGTTCAGCTCTAGAGCCTATGCTCATATCCACTATAATAAATTACCTTTTAATTTGTTATTTACTGACACAATATAAATAACACCAGCAATACATTTCCCTTCAAGTCAGGTACTTATTTATCCACAACCTGCACATATTTAGTGCCCTGGAAATAAATGAGATAAGAAGCCCTTGGCTAACCTGGTTCCTTTGCCCAAATATCAAGGAGCCACTGCATAATGTTCTGTTTGCTAATAATTTTTATCTATTGATTTTTCTCCTACTGCTTGATCCTAAATCTGGTAGTAACTATTAATATCTCTTCTCTATTATTTTCACGGGAGTAACCCTAAGCATGACAAACACGTTTATATGCATCAACTATATACCCCTGAAGATAACCAATTTTAATCTGCTATAAAATAACATTTAATAGCCACTTACAAAACAAATTACAGTCATAATGTGTGGATTTTGTTTTTATTGCTTCAAAGACAGCTCCTCAACAATTATTTTCATGAAAGTCAAAAGATGAAGTAGGGAATTATCTGCTACTGTAAAGTAAGATGATTCCTGATGTTTTAGGGTTGCAACAACTATTACTGATTGAAGTTGATATCCTACTGCCTCCTAAAGTACCATATGGACTAGTTACAATTTAATTTATCATACGTTAAAATTAGTTTAGCCTGGGTAATGGTGAAAGGAAGAATAATTTAAAGTTTGAGTACGCCTTAGGATAAATGTAGACACCATAAAAACCAATAGTTTCCCAAATCAAAGGTAGGATTCGATCTGAAACTACTTACTAAAGAAAAGAAATCATCACAACTTTAAGGTTTTACTACATTTAGAACACACTGCCCCAACGCAGCAGCCTGATAGTGGGCACCTGTTTTGTAAAAAGTTTTTTACAAAATTCTTTTCTCTGTTATGTAAAAAGTTTTCTCTGTTATGTAAAAAGTTTTCACAATACATAGTTAAATTAAAAATAGCATGCCAGCATTTTCTTTGTAATGGTTCTCTTTATATTATCAAGACACATAGTAGAAAAGAAAAATTATGTCAAATACATTATGTGTCTTACTTCAAAGCACTCACCAAAATTGAGTTTTTCTGGTCAACTATCCAAGCTGGCAGAGCAATTCCAAAGCTTGTGGCTGAAACAGAAAGAATATCAGAATTTCTGAAGAGTCTCTACTTCCAGTTTTATTTATTTATATCCTAAAATGCCAACTCCCAAAAACACTTTAGAATAACATTAGTAGGCCCCCATTACACAAAAGTTAAGAATTATGGTTTATATCCAAAACTTCAAATTTTTCCAGAAGGGGGAAAAAAGCCCTGTGTTAAGTACATGAATTCCTTCTTCCAAAAAAACCTAAATTCTTTTGCATGTCCTGAGTTTATGAAAACATAAACATATGGGAAAATGTGTGAAGTCAGTAAAGAAAAGCAGATTTTTTTCCACCAAATTTTCATTAACTGCTAACTGGGAATGATTAATGATAGTGATTACTCTTTTCCCTGAATCAATCTAATTTCTATATTCCAAACTAGTCTTTAGAAAGAAAAATAAAGTAAAATGTAATTAATGGGGCTCAATTAAACTCATTGTGATTATCAGTTTCCTATTCATAAGCTAAGAAAATCAAACTATTCCTTTTAGACTAATTAACTTTCACATACTATCTACCATATCACCAATATTTTTAAATCATCATTTATCACACCTTGAGGCCCATCTGGATTTCCGAATTCTTCCCAATTTTTCCGAGACTCTTCATCAGTTAAACTAGAATCAAAATAACAAAGTTGCAAAATCAGAAAGCCACATCTGAAAAGTACTCATATAGACAAACTCCATTAACCAACCAAGTCATTTCTTAAAAGATACTGACTCAGAGAATCAAGAAAAGAAAAGTCTCTTTGAAATCGCAAAAAGAGTGCGAGGGAGGAGCAAGGAATGCTGCATTAATAGAAAGTACTAACTATTATGCCTTAATACAAATTCCTGGTTGGCCCAGGATTCTCACGTTTAGCCAATTCAATCAGATGAAACTTTAAAGGCCACTATATTTTCTGAGAAGGCAGGGAGGATTATAGGTGATTTTTATTCTTTTCCTTATATGCTCATATTTTCCAAAATTTCTTCAAAGAGCATGTTTATACATTAATGATAAATACATGTTTTTAAAAAATACAAATTTAATACATAATGGTAGCTCCCTATAAAACACTGGCATCACTTTCTCAAAGAAACAAATGAACACCACCTGTAAAACTCTGAAATTCCACTGCTGTGGAAAAGGTCACTTGCATTGTACTGAGATCATAATTTCCAGCTTCCTAACCCAGGCAATATAAAAGTGCCAGAGTGATTTTTTTAAACACCTAAATATAAATATAATCCTTGCCTTGGACAATCGCTCAAGGCACAGAATTAGAATGGTTTTATTCCAGGTCCCAGTGAAAATGTTAAAAAGCATTAAAAGAAATTCTCAATTCCTTCAAAAACTTTACAATGTAGTTAAGGAAGACAAGGCAGACCCACAAAGAAAATGACCAATAATATAAGAAGGCATTCTTGGAGACCAATTGGCAAAAGATTCTGTTTATGTTCAAATCTAATTTTAGCCATATTTCTATTTCCCAAAACAAGAGGTAATGTAGCTTCTATTCAACAAAACTCCAAGTGAAAACAGGCAACGTAGAAATACCTTTATAAAATAGCAAAAAGGACACTCATTGATTTTCAATGACTGGAAAATATTCTTAAACTTATCAATTTAGTCACTTATGAAAACAAGTGCCTTGATATCTTTAGTCCTTATTTAACTGTAACTCCACTCACACTATCTAACCTAAGGCCACAGGAAAATACAGGAGCCAATGAAAAAGGCGCTACTAGAGAGGTTTGCAAGTTAATAAGTAAAGGTGCTAAGATTTCTTTTCTACTAAAGGAGATGTGTCTCTCAAAAAGATTTTGCCCTGGTTTACCTGTACAATTGCTCACCCAACACAGAGCTTTAGCTATTGTTTCTCTCAATATTCTGTCTTTTAAACAGACCTTTCTCCCCCAAAATAATTATCTCTGTCCCAGTCTTTGTGATTATTGCAGCACGAACAAACTGCTCTGTTCTCTACACATGTTCCCAGAATTTGCAAAATAAGGCACAGCTGAAATCATAAAAACACTGGTTTTTGCAACCTATCTGCACACACCTGGTTACAATTACATTAACTCATTCATTAAATCGACCTCTACAATTGCTGTATGACAGGCACCATGTTGGATACTCAATCAAATTAAAGAAGTCAGTAATTTTTTTAGAGCCAGTTTAAGAAAGCAAATGATTTTTTGCTACTTATTAGTATTTCACTGTAATACCATTCCTAAAAGTTAAAGCACTTAGAAGCTATGTGATTTCAGTATAATTCATATATAACAAGCTTAAACAAGATCAATGATACAAATAGAATTTTTAAAAATTCACTGAGTGTAGTTTCCTAAACACGATTATATCCCTTAACTTTGGGGAAGTGAGGGAGAGGAGGATTATGACCCTATTAAAAATCTAACAAAATCTATGTTCCCTTTGCCTTGGAAAAAATGTACACTACAAAGACACATAAATTCTATATACAATTTTAGTGACCCCAGATTATAAATTCTGATCTGGAGAATGCTTTCACTAAAGTATATGTGAGTGACCATGAGTTGGCTATGTAGAGTTAAATTACATACTTATGTGTAGGAGCACATGAAAATGCATGCTTTTATAAAAATTAAAATATCTTTAAAGTAATAACTATGCTGCCCATGTGCTATAAAGCAGCTTAAAGACAAATTTCACACCTGAAAGCCAAATCTCAACTATATCTAGACGGATGAACCAGAGAATTCAATGGTCTAATTCCTCAAAAATAACCAGACTTTCTTTCCTCTAAGTTAGAATCTGATGAAAAAAGAGTAATGGCCCAGCTGGTGTATTATACTAGGCAATTAAGTGTAGAGAAAATTCCTAAATAACCAAAGCAAATTCTAAAAAGCATTATAGAACAAAGCCTATATAACTGCATTCCAAAGGTTGCTTTAGTTATACTGAGACTGCTAGAGATACTCACAAGACAGAAACTTCAATTCAATCACTTAGAACTTAACATTTAGTAAAATACACACCTTTGTCTAATTTAGTTATACTTGTGTAAGTTACAAAATCTCAAAGTTCTGGGTCCCAAAATCATTTCATTTTTTCATTGGTCTTATAGAACATCAACTATTTACAACATTTAATATATAAAACATTCTATAGGCCAGGCACAGTGGCTCACACCTGTAATCCTAGCACTCTGGAAGCCTGAGGCAGGAGGATTACTTGAGCTCAGGAGTTTTGAGACCAGCCCTAGAAAGAGTGAGACCCCCGTCTCTACTTAAAAAAAAAAAATAGAAAAATTAGCCAGGTGTGGTGGTGCATGTCTATAGTCCCAGCTAGTCTGGAAGCTGAGGTACAAGGATCACTTGAGCCCAGGAGTTTGAGGTTGCAGTGAGCTACAATGACGTCACTGCATTCTACCCAGGGTGATAGAGTGAGACTCTGCCACAAAAAATAATAAAATATTTTTATAGCTTGATCATGTAACTGAGTTAAAACTAAAGGCCTTATATTATTCTTCTGCATTTTTTAGAATAGTAACCAAACACCATAAAGAGTCAGATTCCCAGATTCTGGAGTTCGAAACCAGCCTGAGCAAGAGCGAGACCCCGTCTCTACTAAAAATAGAAAGAAATTAATTGGACAACTAAAAATATACAGAAAAAATTAGC